ATCCATTCCTATCCATTTTAGTTCACTGACACCCAGGATGTCAATATTTATTCTTGCCATCTCCTGCTTGACTGCATCCAGCTTACCAAGGTTCATAGATCTTACATTCCAGGATCCTATGCAGTATTTTTCTTTGCAGCATCGGACTTTCCTTTCACTTCCACGAACGTTCGCAGCAGAGCGTCCTTTCAGCTTTGTCCCAACCACTTCATTAGCTCTGGAGCTACTTGTCCTTGTTCTTCACTCTTCCTCAGTAGCATGTTGGACACCTTCTGACCTGAGGGGCTCATCTTTCAGCGTCATATCTTTTAGTCTTTTGTTTCTGTTCATGGAGTTTTCTTGGCAAAGATACTGGAGTGGCTTGCCAGTTCCTGTTCCAGGTGGATCGCGTTTAGTCAGAACTCTCCACTATGACCCGTCCGTCTTGCGTGTCCCTGCATAGCATAGCCCATAGCTTCTCTGAATTACTCAAGCCCCTTCGCCACGACAAGGCAGCAATCCATATATATTTTACTGGGCTTCTAAAATATTACAAGTAGGAGAGCTTTGAGTCCAGCAGGATTCTTCTCCAGGATCAGGTACTACAGAGCTTGATGATGCAGAGGAAGGAGAAAAGTCCACATGATCTGGACTAGAGGAACTGAAATTCATCCTACATTACCTGAGATGAAACCTCCTTGCAACAAGCTTGGAGATTCTTTCTTGGAATATAACTTTAGTATCTTGACTTTACAACAGTTTAGTCAGAACTCTGCACTACGTCCTGTCCGTCTTGGGTGTCCCTGCATAGCATAGCCCATAGCTTCTCTGAATTACTTAAGCCCCTTCGCCACGACAAGGCAGCAATCCGTATATATTTTACTGGGCTTCTAAAATATTACAAGTAGGAGAGCTTTGAGTCCAGCAGGATTCTTCTCCAGGATCAGGTACTACAGAGCTTGATGATGCAGAGGAAGGAGAAAAGTCCACATGATCTGGACTAGAGGAACTGAAATTCATCCTACATTACCTGAGATGAAACCTCCTTGCAACAAGCTTGGAGATTCTTTCTTGGAATATAACTTTAGTATCTTGACTTTACAACATCTGGTCAAGACAATTTTCTCTCACAGCCCCTTCAAAATGAAAAACGTCCTCTTGAAGAAACATCTGCCTGGACTTGAAAGCTCTTATTTTCTTATATTTTAGTGGCTCAATAAGAGTATTACTTAGCACTGTTTGTGAATGAACCAGAACACCTTTGTGTCCATTTTAAAGAGAGAGAGAGAGAGAGCAAAGGATAAAAACCTGTAACAATATCTAAAACCACCCAGCTGTGTGAATGAACTCACCTTTGAACCCACAGCTAAGACGGTCACTACCCCTCGGCCTGCGGTCAGTTTAGGTTAATTTAATTTGTGCCTAAGTGAATTTCATTAATTCCATTGATGTGTAATAGTTCATTACAGTAGATTACTACAATATCCTGAGGTATAACTAGAATTAGATGAGTAATTCTAATGATAGAAAATTAATCCTTCATATCATTTTATCAAACTAAAGGGATAAAAGCTATCAATGGAAATATATCATGAAGATGCATAAGGTAAAAGGTAAAGGTTCCCCTTGACAATTTTTGTCCAGTCGTGTTCGACTCTAGGGGGCGGTGCTCATCCCCGTTTCCAAGCCATAGAGCCAGCGTTTGTCCGAAGACAATCTTCCGTGGTCACATGGCCAGTGCGACTTAGACACGGAATGCTGTTACCTTCCCACCGAAGTGGTCCCTATTTATATAACTTTAGTATCTTGACTTTACAACATCTGGTCAAGACAATTTTCTCTCACAGCCCCTTCAAAATGAAAAACGTCCTCTTGAAGAAACATCTGCCTGGACTTGAAAGCTCTTATTTTCTTATATTTTAGTGGCTCAATAAGAGTATTACGTAGCACTGTTCGTGAATGAACCAGAACACCTTTGTGTCCATTTTAAAGAGAGAGAGAGAGAGAGAGAGAGCAAAGGATAAAAACCTGTAACAATATCTAAAACCACCCAGCTGTGTGAATGAACTCACCTTTGAACCCACAGCTAAGACGGTCACTACCTCTTGGCCTGCGGTCAGTTTAGGTTAATTTAATTTGTGCCTAAGCGAATTTCATTAATTCCATTGAAGTGTAATAGTTCATTACAGTAGATTACTACAATATCCTGAGGTATAACTAGAATTAGATGAGTAATTCTAATGATAGAAAATTAATCCTTCATATCATTTTATCAAACTAAAGGGATAAAAGCTATCAATGGATATATATCATGAAGATGCATAAAGCAATTGTTAATATGGCCATGGAAAGAAGCTCAGATAGAACAAGGGCTTATGATCTGTCTCTCAATATTGGGTTCAGAGATATTGGTGTATACACTTGACATCTAATTGTGTGGTCTATGTGTGATAGGATTTACAGGCCAACAAATCTCGAGACGCAAGGTCCAATCCAATGTGAATAGAAAATATCTTTTGTTGAAAGGAAGTAGGATATCTGAGACAAAACCACTTTCTATTAAAAGCTTTTTACTGTTCCAAACTAATGGTAGTGTAAATTATATCTGCACTAATGTTAATATAAAGTTAGGGGCAGAATTTTAGAGGCATGGTATAAGCTGAGTTGCACAACCTGATTAAAGTGTTACTTGTCAGTACCGCTAACACAAAAACTGCTGGACTCATGGCATGAGATAATTGTGACATGTTTTCAACAAATAAAGTGCTCAACGGTTCATAAAGCTATACCTCCAGGGACACACAAGAAGGACCTTTGGGCATTCTTAAACAATCCCCCTTTTTATGATGAGAACAAATGGACACAATTTAAGGGACACAGGGCCATTCTGAACTATTTGCTGGCAGAACCCCTAAAAAGTTAGTGCAATTTTAAACACAAGTATAAGACTTTAATCCCTTATGACTTAAGTTTTTCCAAATTCAATACTTTACATTTATGACCCAGATTATAAGACAACCCAAAGGACTCTCAATACCAATGGAACTGCTAACGGGCACTGATAATCAAAGAGTAAGGGTCTCAAAACTCTATAAAATAATGATGAAATCCTTATGTAGAAAGGCTTAGGGTCACAGATAAATATGGAGTGGTGATCAGGTATATCATATTAACAAAGAAAAAAGGGAAAGGATTTTGAATAATCCCAATATTTAAATCAGTTTCCATTGCCTTACAGTGGTACTACATACCCCTAAAATTAAGCTAAATAAATCAAGACATGAGCCCCAAATGTTGGAAGCAATGTGCCTCATACTTGTATATGTGGTGGAAGTGCCACAAGGAACTATGATTCTGAAAAACAGGTATTTGAAAAAGCAGACTTAATAGCTAAGCAGACAATTCAGTTATTCCCCATACTGGGCCTTCTGTCTCTTTACGTATAACCTAACAAGCTGTTTACAATCTTACCTATTTTTTATGTCTGGCAGTAAAATTAATAAATAAAAGTTTGAGGGACTATGATTAAACCTATGGGAGGAAATACGAGAGAAATTAACTAATAGAGCACTAATAGGGAAATTAAGAGTTCCTACACGTGAAATCAATATAAATAACTACAACAAAAGATTTTTATTGTTATGTTCTTCGCTAATATCTCAGATCAACTTACAGAGAGATGTTTTAACATTCTCTGTTTAGCTAAGCTACTAAATAACCCTCCCTCGGTTTGTGTGTATTACATGTTTGTTCCCCATAGTTTTCATTAAAAAATTTTTAAAAAAATAATTAATATCAACAAAGATGAAATGGTACACCAAGGTTAGCTCTTAAACTGCAGGAAGTAGGGGTTTCCTCTGTGATACGGAAGAACTGTCAGATCAAGAACATTATATGTCCTCTGGACTTCTCAGCTGGATCGCATAACTTTGGGTAAATAGAAGCTAACCTCTCCTCTACTGGATCTGTAAAATGTGACAGATGTGCCAACATCAGCAGAAAATGTGTATGTATAGCACTATAAGAAATAGAAAGAGAAAGAAAAAGGGTTCAAACAATAGTGATATAATAAAATTTATTTTTTATGATGTTTGCTTAATACATTCTAACCACAAGTCTTCCCCAGAGCATGAAAAATCACTTTCCAAACTGTAAATACTGTAGTTGTTACAGTATTCACAGTTCAAATACTGTAACAACCACACCTCTTACTTGTTACAGTATTTCAAAACTACTGTGTTGCTATTGCAACTGTTATATTATTTGTTGTGCCACTCACTACTTTTTCTTTATTATTTTTTATCCCTCTCCCCCCAAACATCTTATATCCAATAACAGAAGGGTATAAAACTTGAAAAAAAAATCGTATCAAAGTATCTCTAAAATGTCGTTTAAAAGTATTCTTTGAAAGGGACTAGCCTGTAAACTAACAAAGTAACTTCAATCCTACTTGTATTGCTTTTGAAAGGTAACCTTGTTATACCATCTTTTCCAGACTCCAACTAGCTATAAATAACTAGTCATGCAGTTACAGTATTTGTAACTCATTACTTCTAGTCTTCCTTTGAACAAACCTGAAGTTCAGGTAACCCGTGCTAGAGCAAGACAAAATAAGTTCTTTGCCTGAGAGAGGCTTGCATAGTCATGCAGTTATTTGTAACTCATTACTGTACTTCTAAGTCCTAGTCTTCCTTTGAGCAAACCTGAAGTTCAGGTAACCTGTGCTAGAGCAAGACAAAATAAGTTATTTGCCTGAGAGAGGCTTGCATAGTCAAAATATGCTAGCCATTTATTGCAAAATAAATCGCTATTTTCTAGAGTCAGCATGAGGCCCATCTCTTCATTTATTCAATACCACCACCTTAGAATGACTGGCTGAAGACTGAAATAATATATATTACAGAAGGGTACAAAATTCATTGTGGTTTTGCACAAGCAGTCGCAAATTTAGTCAACTTGATCACATTTAGTCTACGCTTCTGTGCAGTACAGAAAAAAAAAAATCAAGTAGTTCCACTTACCTGAAGCAAGTGCAACAGCTACAGCCTGTTGATTTGAGGCACAAAGAATCTGAACACCAACTGGAAGAAGAGGGCACGTTTGTTTCACCCTCGCACAAATGACTGCCATGGCTGCAGTAATTTCTGGACCAACATTGATTACATACGGCAGGTCATGCATGTTCTCTACAATTAAGCCATCCTATGGGAATTAACACAGAGGAAGTAGATTAAGATCAGCGGAACTCCTCAGAAACAAATAGAGGGCTTTGCATACAATAAAAAACCAGATAGATAATGCTCAATAGTTTGCACTGATCTTATGTAGCAGGCAGTGCAGCACAGTATCTGTTCATCTAGGCTTATACAGTAATCTATATACTGAGACTATGCTTATACAAAGTAAGGCAAAAGCCTCATTTATGTAGTGAAGCTCATGAAAGGAATTTTATGGGCCTCAAGCATTACTGTGAAAGAGAAGGCAGTATCAGCAAACAAGCTTAAGACTAAGGTGCCATACTACATTCTATCAAATACAATTTTTCCTTCCAAAGAAGAGATTATGAGCATGACTCAGCTGGTACCAACATCCACTTGCGAACACACCTTGACCAACAGCATACTCTTTGTAAAGCAATCAAATAAAGAATTAACTTTGATGGTTGTTGTAAGTTTTTTGGACTGTTTGGCCATTGACTGTTTGGTCAATGAACTCTACCCAGCCACAATGACCAGTGATCACTGCACACAAGACTAGCTAACGACACCCATCAATCACCATGGCAGATTATCTCTCCCCCCCTTATCACAACAATACACCCAAAACAAAAAACACCCTGATCACCATAATCACCCAATCTCCTGAAAAGAACAAAAAGCTAATCCCACAGCTATAAATACTCAACTGTCTCACACACTACACCAGAACACAGACAGAGTTCTAACTCCTGTCCTCTGAAGATGCCAGCCACAGAGACTGGCAAAATGTTACAAAGAAAAACCTTCAGATCATGGCCAAACAGCCCGAAAGACCTACAACAACCATCAGATCCTGGCCATGAAAGCCTTCGAGAATACAAATGAACCTTAAGTTCAGTAAGACTCTTTCTGAATAAAATCTCAAGTACTGTACAAAGAACATGAAATTGTAACTCTCATTTCAGGTGAGAGTTACCAAGTCAAACCTTAATTGTCCTAACAAAATAGGGGGCATTGACTCAGTTGTGATAATTGAGGGATCTGCTAATCAGATCCTCAATTAATACACATCAGGGGAAAAAGATGCTTGTTCAGAACAGCTGGGGCTTTTGCTTTCATTCTGCTTTTCCATCAACGTAAAATAATGAAAAGGTTGGGGGAACCCAAGTAATTTTGACCACTTACTATTCTCCCAGCTATGTCCAACTCTGAGGGTTAAAGTGAGCAGTAGGTTTCCTTCTATAATAGCTTATTAATAGTTATTTATAAGCCCATCTTGGCCGGCTGGATAGCTCAGTGTTTTAGGCATCTGGCTGGGAAGCCAGAGATTGGAAATTCAATTCCCCTGCTGTGCCTCCTAAGAGAAGAGACAGCCTGTGTGGCCTTGGGCAAGCTGCACAGTCCCAGGGCACCTCTCTAGGCACCTCTGGGGCCTAGAGGAAAAGAAGGATATGCCACATCCGAGCATTTCTCTACCTGGTACACTATGAAGAGGGTCACCATATTTCAGAATTGACTTGATTGAACACGATAATGATGATAAACCCATTTTAACATGTAAAGTGCTTTAAAATAATGGATTTTATGTCTCTGTGTTTGTGTGTGTTTGTGTGTGGTCCTGTTTCGGCTACATAAGCAACAGCACTCTTGATAATTTAGCAAAGTATCAGCTTGATCTTTCTTGAGTTTCAGTTTTTTTCTCCAGGGTCAACATTTATTTATTTACAGTATTTAAATTTATACCCCACCCATTTAGACCCAAGTCTACTCTGGGCGGCTAACAATAAAAAATGGCGTAAAAGTGATATAATAAAATACAGTAGAGAACAACAATAGTAATATCGTTCAAGATGGGGAAAAGATAAAAATAATCAAGTGATGACAGGAGGGAAAGCCTGCCTAAAGAGCCAGGTCTTAAGTTGTCTCTTAAAAACACCCAGCGAGGGAGCCAGATGGATCTCTGAAGGGAGACCATTCCAAAGGCGAGGGGCCACCGCCGAGAAGGCCCGGATTCTTGTTCTTTCTCTCCAGGCCTCCCTCGGCGTTATTTATAATAATCATTGCAGTAATTCACTTGGAGCACATTATATTCCAATGATGTGGCACTATTTTTTTACCTGGCCCCTTATCATTTCAAAAGCTATCCCCGCTTGCCCCAACTGAGACCATGGCTAGACTCATAGATTTCCTAGGTCCAATGTCATCATCATCCACTAATCCCTGCCCCCGTCTTTCCACATCCATATATCACTCACATATGAATTCAGAATTGCTCAGTGGAGATTTTTGTTCCTTCCATTGATTCCTATGAATCAGAACTGCAGCCTTTATGATTTAGAGCACAGCTACACCTTTTACAGATAAAATTCTAAATAGCAAGCCATCGCTATTTCCAAAGTGCCTTTAAAATCTTGCAGCAGCACTTAGGTGAAAATAAGTAAGATTTTTTTTAAAAAAAATATGAAAATTAATTTAATAGAAAATGAGTAAAAATATTATTCCTGGCAAAAAGCCAGCTGTGTATATTTATAGACCCATTAGAGAATCAATATAATTTTATGTTTTACTGCTAGAGTGGCTTCACCCACTAGTGGAAAGTATCTAAATTGCACAGGGGAAGTTGATATCTCCTGAAGCATGCTTATTGGCCAGAATCCTCTTGAGGATTTCTTAACTTGAGGCAATTTGCCTCCAAAGGTTACACTATTAGCATTACTGTACACTGGTGTGGTTACAAATGAAGATTTGCCCCACCAAGTGGTAGTTTTAAAATACAAAAAATTCTAAAGCAGCAAGGAACCACAACGCCAACACTATTGAACTGTTTTATAGAGTATTACTTGTACTTTTTAAAATATTCTGCTAGTGACTATTACCATGAAAAGCTGGCATTGTAAAATATATTCAGTATCATTCAAGCCAAAAGTTGCACACCAGCATGCCTTTCCTTCCTAAATTACATGAAACCAAGACACTGCATGAATGGACTCAATTAGAGCTAACAGAAGAACTAACAATAATGGTTCATAGATGCTTAAGGGTCTAAAACACTAGTCACAAAAGCCAGCAGGGCCATGACAGTAATAGCTTGCCCTGTTTTCTGACTGAAGCAATAAGCATTGTGGTTCTAAAACTCTTGTCCTTCCAATGTCTCAGACTTCAGCTAAGTGGAACCCTGTTACTCTGATTTTATGGGGGCCTGAGTTTTTAATTTGAATTGTACAAGAGCCAGCCAGAGGTTCTGAACCCTAATTCCAAATTGGCTCAGAATCCTCAGTGGCCCTTTTAGAATAAAAGCCAGATTAGATTCAGTATCCCAAGGGAAGTGGAGTCGCTAGCCTCCTCTGCCTCAACTCACAGGATCCTCACCCAGCACATCCAACAGTCAGGAATTGTGGAAGATAAAATCCAAAACACCAGCAGTTAAAAACCACTGTTCTAAACTATCCCATCTGTGTTTGCATATATTGATTTCACCATCCAACATATTAATGGCAAAACAGTCTCTGAAGGTGGATCCTCATGCAGAAGGAGTGGTATCGGAAAGCTCAAGACAATGGTGTGGTTTGCAAAAGTACATCCAAGTTTCAAAGAAAAGAAAACCAAAAGAGGAAAAGCATTTCCCCCCTCAAAAACAATTTAATAAAGTGCTATCTGATGGAGGAGGGGAAGGGAAAGTGGCTAAATAGGGGGAAACTGATTGGAGTGTTCTGGAACGGGACATAGTTGGCTGCCACGCTGAACTAAATTGTGCATAAATTTGGTTGCATGTCCTACTTGCTACAGAGAATGCCCATCTCCATGGAGTTTGCCAAATTACTCAGTAACCACATTTTCTGAAAATTATTTTTACTAACTTACTTCTATGATGCATGAAAAAATATTTGTTTTTGCCATTCTTGCAATACGGCCAGTCATCACTACAATGGTGGTGAGCCAGAATTCTAGTATTAGGAAGTTAGGGAGAAAGAATCTTCATAATTTCTGAATGAAAATTTTAAGGGACAATCTGGTTACTTTATGGTGCAAGGCATCACCACAACCTGAGGGTGCAGGCTTTCCAACCATATTGATGCTGGGTATAGATACAATGGCCAAAATCCTGTTAGTTAGCATAATAAATTAAACTAGAGGAAGCCCGACAGAATTTACAGAGGAGCTGCTCACTCAAACTCCATTGATTCAACGTGCCTGCTCTAGAGTGATTTACTACACTAAGCTGCCCAGAGACCTTTGGGTAGTATGGGCAGCATATAAGTTAAATAAATGCATAAGTGCATAAATGCATAAGTGCATAAATACATAAATACATAAATAAATAAATAANNNATAAATAAATAAATACATACATACATACATACATACATACATACATACATACATACATACATACATACATACATACATACATACATACATACATACATACATACATTACATACATAATAAGCAAAAGGATTTGGGCCAGTCTGAGAAAATGTTCAGTAAGTCCATAAAATTAATAAATTGTGGTATATCCAGTTTTAGAAAGAGGAAAGAAGAGCCTAATAAAATGGAGAGTTCTAAACTCCTCTGAATATGTCACTGCATATAATCTTGTCATGGCAGTTCTGATTGTGTTTGGCAAAACAAGCATATAGCAGCTACAATTTTTCAGCACAGATGGCTTCATGTCTGAGCATTCACTTGTTTTCATTAATATGCTCCAGCATTATAAATCTTCCATATTTATGTTCTTTTAAAAAAGAATCACTAATGCATCAAACAAGCCACATTCTTTTTTTAAAAAAAAAGGACTGAGAATTTCCTTTCATCAGTCATGTCTGCATACCACTTTGAAACAGCAAGATGTACTTACAATCCTTTCTATTCCACTTCACAGTTTCAGCAAAAAAAATATCTTTTTAAAGGCCACAGAATAGCTATAGCAACAAGAAAAGGCTGTGTGATTGAGTCAGGAGGTGAGGCTGAGGAGCCTGACGCCGAGAGAGGCCCGGAAGGAGAAGACACGAAACCGGGCCTTCTCGGCGGTGGCTCCTCGCCTCTGGAACAATCTCCCTCCAGAGATTCACGCGGCCCCTACACTGGGCATTTTTAAAACCCAATTTAAAATATGGTTGTTTATCTAGGCCTTCCCTACAGCCAATTCTTGATTTTCCTTTACTCTTTTATTTTTATTTATTTTGTATTATTATGTATTTGATACTGTTTTTATTTTCTGATTTTATATTGTAAGCTGCCTAGAGTGGACCGTTGGTCCAGACAGGCGGGATAAAAATCAAATAAATAAATAAATAAAATAAATATTAGTGCATTAGTCTTAAATGTGTTCAAATATACCCAAGTTGAATTGTTTGAAAGGATTCTATAATGATGATATTAGATGAAACCAAAACTTCTAATAGGGTAATAGTTTTATTGAGGCCAACTTCATATGGTACAAAATAATGAGCAAACTTTTTGAGTTCTCCAGGCAGAATGTCAAACAAGTTGGGGAAGGAGAGAATCTGGAAGTAGTGTCATGGCTCCATAACCCTACGGGTTGCAACAGTCTTATGATGGAATGTAGGAGAGAAGTTTTGCAGGCTCACAAACCCAAGACAGATTTTAAGAAGCGTTAAGAGCTACTGGGCAGAAAAGAAAAAAACAATGCTCCCCATTCTGAAAACTAAGAGAATTTAATAGTTAATTCTCTTTTAAGCCCACAGGGCCCTTGGGAGACAGAAAACAAAAACAAACAGAAACATAATAGTCTTTATGTTAACAAAGCTGGAAATTAATTTTTAAGTAAAAAGTCAATAGAAGCCAATTTTGAATAGAATTACTTACTGCCTGGAAATTATTATTTCAAGTGTTTAAACTACCTCAAGCTGCCAAAATTTCCAATGCACCCCATATGAATTATAAACTAATATGAAACAACCACATGCATTTGCAGAAGTAAATACTTAGACATATAAACATTTCTTCAGCTGTATTTCATACAGAGAGCCTATCCCATATTTTTCTTTTCAGCATATGCCATTTCTCTCTCCCAGTAATTGACCTTCTTTATATATCTATTCAGGATCTGAAGTTTAGGTAAACCTTGCTTGGTCTTTAGCTCTTTACTCCCTAGTCTATTGGGAACTTAAGTTCTGACTCTGATCCTATAATGGTGTGAGTTTATGAACCTAAATCAAATGCCTACTGATTAAAAATAATTTGCCCCAATTAAAAGAACAGCCAGGAAATAACTCCAAGGGCAGAAACTAGTGGTCTAAGTCCAGCTTGAAGGCTAGCTTACTAGGGCATCACAGCAAAGCTGGCAGTTTATATGTTCACTGCAGGCAGGCTGAGGAAGTAGTGTGTTGCAACAGAGGGATACAGAGGTGCAGTGGAACATATAAAACACCCCTTGACCTTTTAAAAGGACACATATCCTGTTAAAAATCTCTCAACCTACAGAAATTACTGCAACACCGGAAGACCAAAGGAAATTCAGTCACTAGCACCCAACTGTTGTTGCCTCTGGCTCAAAATGGCCTTTCAAGTCTTGCTTTATAAATATACACAGCAGAATACTGCTTGTTGTCAAACGATCTGTCATAGGAAAGTTACGGCTGGGCAACGGTACAGACAAGTAGAAACTGCACTTGAGCATATTGCTTTTTAATCAGATATGCCATTTAATAAGATATGCTACACTGCCCTTCAAACTCTTAAAAATGCACCCAGCAGCCAGGGTGCGTGCAGTGGCATGATTATAGAATAAAGGCACATACAAAAATGAGTATTGTAACTGTTTGAATAAACAGATGTGCTTCATAGAAAGAGATAGACGAAGGCCCTGATAGTTCAGTTCATCAATATTAAGTGGCTAAATCTTTCCCAAGGTTTCAGGTACAGGTAGTTTCAGCCTACTGTCTGAGGTGTTTTTTTTTTTTTTTAAATCAGAAATGAAACTGCAACATTCCCCCATGCAAAGGCTGAGGTCCGCCACTGAGCTTTTAGCTCTCTTGTGATGCTTGCCCAATTCAAAGTACTTGTTTTGACATATAAAGCCCTAAACGGCTTGGGCCCTTGATACCTGAAGGAGCGCCTCCTTCCATATGAGCCTACCCGGCAGTTAAGATCTAGCCAGGGGGCCCTTTTGAAACAGCCGTCCCTCAAGGAGGTAAGAGGGATAGCTTGTAGACAAAGGGCCTTTTCGGCAGCTGCCCCCAGACTATGGAATGCCCTCCCGACTGAAATTTGTCTGGCGCCAACGTTGATAACATTTAGGCGTCAGATCAAAGCCTTCCTGTTCCAGAACGCTTTTAATTGAAATAACATCAACTGTGGGTCCTGATGGCCATTCTAATTGTATTTTAATCATTTTATCTTTTATTGTATTTTAATTGAATTTTAATTGTTGTAAGCCACCCAGAGACCTTTGGGTAGAGTGGGCGGCATATACTGTAAGTTAAATAAATAAATAAATAAAATAAGATCAGTGAACTCAACTTTAACGACATAACATTTAGCTGTACAGCAGCATACATCAGTTATCTGCAAGGCAAAAAAGTACAACTGTCTCTTTCCATAACGTGCGGCTTGCACCACTCGGAGATAACAGAAACTATTTTATTAAGCTATTCTTCCAATTGCATGGATATCTTTGAGACAACTCTGGCCAAATGAATGGCAGGAAGTTAACATAAGTAAGTTTCGTATCTTCTAGTCCTCAGATTCTATGTTCTTAAGAGTTTTAGGACACAGCAACTCCCATGAAAAGATATTCTTCAACCTCTGCTTAAAAACATTGCCATTTGGACAACACACATTATCTTAACACTGAATCAAAGCAATGCTGAAAATATTCCACTAAGCTGTTGTTTGTACAGGCTAGAAATTTGAGGATAATTAGAAATCAGAAATAGTTTTCTAGGTCTGAGCACAACTACATCGGTTCGATAAATCTAGTCATGATGATCTGACAATTGCAAAAATAGAAATCCAGAAAAAGAAGTTTGTTTTACTGGTTGGAGAATATATAACCCTTCTTCCTAAAGTGGAGGATTCTAAATTTTGCATGTGAGATGACACCTCCAGATGAAGGACACTACAGAAATTCCACCACCCACTTCTACCCACAGGACAAGACCTTGTGCACACTTCATTAATTCAAGAAAAACAGTTTCAGTGGCATCATAAGATAAACTAGCTTCTCAACTTTTCAGGCCCTGTCAAATGGAGACAGCAGCCCTGAAATTAAAAGGCGCCTTCTTCTTGGGAGGAAAGCGATGACAAATCTTGACAGCATCTTGAAAAGCAGAGACATCAAAGCTACCAACATGAACCTGACACAACTCCGGGAGGCAGTAGAAGACAGGAGGGCCTGGCGTGCTCTGGTCCATGGGGTCACGAAGAGTCGGACACGACTAAACGACTAAACACACACACACACACAGCTTCTCAACTTTTCAGGCCCTGTCAAATTTTTGGACATGGCTTTCAGTTCTGAACCCGATGACTCATAATGGTTTTGCTTATGTACGAAATATGAATTTTTATTTCTAACATGCCAATGTGTTTTTTTTAACATCAATATTTCACACAAAGTTCTACCACATAAAATATTAATAACCAGGAAGTTTTGGAGATGTGAAAGCAGGGGGGAGAGAGAGGGAGGAGAAGATATATCTTACAAGTCCTGCAGCGCTGTAAATTTCAGCTTCCTGGCAGGCTTCTTCAGTAATCTGAGCCAATGACAATGAACTCCTTGGTGTTCCTGCAAAGACAAAGATGGTGTTCTGGATCAGAAAGCAACCCCCTCCCTAGCATTTGGAGCCATCAGAATTATGGATATTGTATAAAGAAACAAACGATAAGCTAACCTCCCCGTTATATGGCCCAAAGGAGACAAAACAATAACAATGTGTCAGTTATTATTCCCTCACTTACGTTCCTTACATATTAATGCAGCTCAAGCACAACAATGTAGAAAGTGAACAGTAAGGTATGTCTCTGAACAAATGACACTATTTCATATGAATTAGCTGGGTAACAAACCTATCCATTCTAAAGGAAATCAACCCTGACTGCTCCCTGGAAGGACAGATCCTGAAGCTGAGGTTCCAATACTTTGGCCATCTCATGAGAAGAGGAGACTTCCTGGAAAAGACCCTGATGTTGGGAAAGTGTGAAGGCAAGAGAAGAAAGGGACGACAGAGGATGAGATGGCTGGACAGTATCATCGAAGCGACCAACATGAATTAGACCCAACTCTGGGAGGCAGTGGAAGATAGGAGGGCCTGGCATGCTCTGGTTCATGGGGTCACGAAGAGTCGGACACAACTAAACAACAACAACAAGCTGGGGAAAACATGACCCATAAGATGTTGCCAGGCTTCTGTGTTCTGCCTTTGACTTCTATGGAAGGTTGCGGTTCCTAGTCATTCAGAGTAACAGTAACCAAAGGTAACAATAACCAAGGGTGCATTGTTATAGGGATGAAATGAAGTAAGGCTCAGGTTTGAATGCTCCATTTCCTCCTGCAGAGCAGCCATAAGAAAGAGTCTGGGTGCTCTTCCATTCATTAAAATGCAAATTAAGGAAAACAAAGTCAATACAGCTGCTTCTTAATGAATGCATTTCAATATATTATCCCATCTGCTTGGTTGGCCGAACAAAGGTTTTATCTCAGTATGGACATCATGCCTTATCTTTTTGCCCCAACTTTTAATAGCTAAGATTTTTTGAAGATGAAGGTATTAAGTACTAAAAATTATACACATGCACTTCCATTTAGGTTTTTCTGAGGTGGCGAGCTTTGTTACCTGAATAAACGTTATGCATGTTTAGTCTTTAAAAAGTAATTCCCATTCTTAAAAAAAAAAATAAGAACATACCTGGCAGAGCTTTCACATGGATCATGCCAATTACAACCGACTTCAATCGCCCAAAAAGCTGCAGAAAATTCATGATCTACAGAAGAGAAAAGGATTTCAGATGAATTCTCACAATTCAATATTTTCAAATCAGTAACACACCCAAAAGGCCGTGGAAGACAGGCGGGCCTGGCGTGCTCTGGTCCATGGGGTCATGAAGAGTCGGACACGACTAAACAACTAAACAACAACACACACGAAATAAATATCTGCAAGTGAGAACACTTGTGGTTTACTTTCTTTGAATATGTTCAAAGGCACCAGGGCTCTCATTTTACAGAGAATTCCTCATTAGATTTTCTGTTACTTAGGTAATTTGCTGTTCCGTGTTCAGCATCAAATGTTACATTTAAATTTAATTAAAGTGCTTAAGATTTAACCACTGCAATTACTGATGAATTAAGGACCCCACACGCACCCTCCAAAACATCTTCTTTTATCTCTGGTATAAGTTGTGTGTAAATAGCTGCTCACAGCAAAAAGCATTCTGCGTATGCTCAGTGACATTTTACAGTTTTTCTACATATTGTAATAAGTTATATACTTATTGGCCCAGGACAGACCTTAACTACAAATTAAGAGAGTGGGTGTAATGCAGCAGTAAGAGTGTTGCAACGAGGACTCGGGAGACTGGGTATAAATCCCCATCAGCCATGAAATACATTGGGTGACCTTAGGTCAGCCATACTTTCTAATCTTGGCCTGCTTTACAGAACTGATACAAGGAAAACAGAGATATAGAGAACCATGTACAGTGGTGCCTCGCATTACGATCACTTCGTTTAATGACAAAATCACATTACGATGAACTTTTTGCGATCGCAAAACGATGTTTCCTATGGGGAAATTTCGCTTTGCGATGATCGGTTCCCTGCTTTGGGAACCGATTCTTCGCAAAACAATGATTTTCCAACAGCTGATTGGCGGTTTCAAAATGGCCACAGGGTAAATAAAATGGCTCCCCACTGTGTTTAGGGACGGATTCCTCGCAAGACAGGCAGCGAAAATGGCCACCCTATGGAGGATCTTCGCTGGACAGTGAGTTTTAAGCCCATCGGAATGCATTAAACAAGTTTTAATCCATTTCCATGGGCTTTTTAATTTCGCTTTACGATGTTTTCGTTCTACAGCGATTTCGTTGGAACGAATTAACATTGTAATGCAAGGCACCACTGTACACATCACAGACATTGTTAGAGGAAAGGCAGGCTCTAATATGTAAAGAAAAATAAAATCCTATTGTTTCAGTAATAATGCTGGTGACAATCTTTGCCCCATCAGCCAAAGAGGACAGCTGCAATCAAGCCAGATTACTACTGCCCTGGTTGAGAATGAGATGTAAACAGAGATTATATTTGTTCTACCCTTCCAAAGGCAGAGAAAACTACATATGTTCAATAAGATATTATAAAATATCCTGCTTTAAACAAGTAAAAAAAAAGCCAAGTGTGCTGCTTATATATTGCTCCATAGCGCTTCAAGCACTTTCTGGGTGGTTTACAAGTCAATTATGCAGGCTATCCATTTCACACACACCCCCCAAAAAAAACTGGGTACTCGTTTTACCAACCTTGGAAGGATAGAAAGCTGAGTTAACTTTGAATATATCAAACACTCTTTCTAAAAACATATTTTTGTCATAAGAAAAATGTACTGCACATCCACAGAAGAATTTTGGTGTGTTATTGTTTTTCTTGGTAGTTTCACAAAGTTTTAAAACAAAGTGCTTTGCTGAATGTACAATGTACATTTCCCTTCTAACAGAAACTATCTTTTAAAAAAACATGTAAAGGCAGTAAACATTTTTCAACAGTAAATATCCTCCTCCTGAAAAGGATTATGTTCTGTAATTTATTAGGCTTTTGGTCACTGTACAGTGAGGTCTTGACTTGAGAACTTAATCCGTATTAGAAGGCGGTTCTCAAGTCAAAAAGTTCTCAGGTCAAATCTGCATTTCCCATAGGAATGCATTGAAAACCATTTGATCCGTATCTGCTCTTTTCCGTCCATAGAAACTAATGGGAAGCTGCTATTCTGCCTTCGACCACTAGAGGGGGATATTTTGTTTCTCTTTTTTCTTAGGTCAAGAAAGGTTCAGGGAAGGCAGGGAAAATACAGTCCAGGCAGGACAGTACCAGGCAGTCCGAAGACTGTCTCCCAATCCACTCTCTAAACGCTGGGAGGAGTGAGGAAGCAGACAGGCACCCTTTTCACTGGCCAACAGTTAACTGAAAGTTCAAATTTTGCACTTTCCCTGCCTCCCATGTGTTTTTTTTTCAGTTTGTAACTCAAATTCTAAGTATGTCAGTCAAGTCAATATTTTCCTATGAGAGTGGTTCTTAAGTCAAAATGTTCTTAACTCGAGCCGTTCTTAAGTCAAGACCCCACTGTACACAAAATGTTCTTCTCAGGATGTATGTTCTTCTCAAGAGTCTGTGAAGGAAGCTACACAGAAATGCAGGAACTAGAATTCTAAAGCAATTAAAAACAATAACGCAAAAAGCAATTTCCCCCCCAATTACTTATCAGTATCAGTCTATTCTTTATAGACTACAGCAAAGCCTTCAACTTATGCAGACCATGGAAATATTATGGATCATTTGAACAGAAAATGGAGTGCCTCAGCACTTGATTGTCCTAATGCAACGTCAGCTCCAACTTATGGCGACGCTATGAACAAGTGATCGCCAACGTCCTGTCCTGAACATTCTTGCACAGCTCTTACAAACTCAAGCCCGTGTTACTTTAGGAAGCCAATCCATCACATATTTGGTCTTCCTCTTTTCCTGTTGCCTTCCACCTTTCCCAGCATTGTTAGATTTTCCAGAGAATCTTGCAGTCTCTGGATGCGCCCAAAGCAGGACAGCTTCAGTTTCAATATTTTTGCCTCCAGAGATCGTTCATGCTTGATTTGCTCTAGAACCTATTTGTTCATCTTTCTGGCAGTCCAGGGTATTGACAAAGTTCTTCTCCAGCACCATTTTTCCCTTTCAGCTTTCTTTACTGTCCGGCATTCACACTGTTACATGGTAACCGGGAGTACAACAGCATAAATGATTTCAGTCTTGGTCTCCAGTAACATCTGATGATATTTTCTAATAGCATCAATGGGAGTACAACAGCATCAATGATTTCAGTCTTGGTCTCCAGTAACACATCCTTACATCTGATGATATTTTCTAATAGCATCAATACTGCCCTTCCAAGATTCAATCTTCTGATTTCACGGCTGGAGTCTCCCTTTGGATTGATGACTGAATCAAGGTACAGTGGTGCCTCGCTTGACAAGGATAATTCGTTCCGTTCAAATCGCTGTTAAGCTAAATCCTCGCCAAGCGAAATGAAAAAGGACATTGAAATACACTGAAAACCGGTTCAATGCGTTCCAATGGGTGAAATACCTCAGTGTCCAGCGAAGATCCTCCATAGGGCGGCCATTATCCGGTGCCTTTAATGCGAGGAATATGTCCTAAAGCACAGTGGGGAGCCATTTTGCACAGTGGGTGGCCATTTTGAAAACCGACAATCAGCTGTTTTTGATTGTCGCTAAGTGAAAAATCAGTTCCCGAAGCGGAAAAAGCCCATTCAGTCATTGTTTAGCGATCACAGTAGTGATTGCAAAAAACTAATCGTCAAGCGATTTCCTCGTCTAACGAGGTAATTGTCAAGCGAGGCACCACTGTATACAAAATCTTCCACTATTTCAATTTCTTTATTGTTGATGATAAAGTTACATACCTATCCGGCAATCAACATTTTGTCTTCTTATGGCTCAACTGCAGTCTTGCTTTGGCACTTTCTTCTTTTGCTAAAAGTAGTTTCAAGTCATTACTGCTTTCTTCTATTATGATAGTGTCATGTGCATATTTTAAATTATGGACATCATCAGATGGCCAATATAGAAATCATATACTATAGACTAAATAACTGGAAGCAGGTGGAGGAACACCAAAAGAATCGTAGAGCCAAAATATAATGACTATTATGATGAAATAGTCCATTGGACTATTTCAGTGACGTGGAGAGGGGGGATATGCTGCTTGGGTAACAGCCTATCCTCCATATTATTTTACCCAGGCTTCATGCTCTGGAGAGGACACTCCAGCTTTGGATACAGCTTCAAAGTCCTCCATACAGAGCACAGTACCATAACTGAAGGTTGCCTATGATGATTATGATGACTATTACAATAATAAAGAGCACAGTACCATAACTGAAGGTTGCCAATGATGATTATGATGACTATTACAATAATAAGTGCAAAGAAATACAGAACAACAAAAGTGGAAAAATAAAAGATCTCTTCTGGAAGATCCAGGAAAATCAAAGGGAAATTTAAGTCTAGATTAGGAATGCTGAATGACTAAAAGGGAAGCGCACTATCAGACCAGGAGGAAATAAAGTTAAGGTGGAAACAGTATACAGTACTGAACAGCTATGCAGAATAGATAAAAACATGGCAGACTCCATTGAAGAGCAATCCTGCCAAGGACCTGCGGATCCCACTCTGTTGGTTCTCCCTTTACTAGGCGTAACTTGGAAATGTTCCAATTTTGACCTACAACTCCCAGAATCTAATAGGAACACACGAGTTTTATTTAGTGTAAAGTACCCGTTCACAGAAGGGACGTGGTGGCACTGAGGGCTAAACCACAGAAGCCTGTGCTGCAGGGCCAGAAGACCAAGCAGTCATAAGATCGAATCCACACGACGGAGTGAGCTCCGGTCGCTTGTCCCAGCTCCCGCCAACCTAATGGTTCGAAAGCATGCAAATGCAAGTAGATAAATAGGGACCACCTTAGTGGGAAGGTAACAGCGTTCTGTGTCTAAGTCACGCTGGCCATGTGACCACGGAAGATTGTCTTCAGACAAAACGCTGGCTCTATGGCTTGGAAACGGGGATGAGCACCGCCCCCTAGAGTCGAACACAACTGGACAAAAATTGTCAAGGGGAACCTTTACCTTTACCCGTTCACAGAGCACTGAATTAGCTTGGAGAAAAGAAGGTTCTGGCTGGGACAACTATACAAGGAACAACCTCAAAACAGTGGTTAGATGGTTTAAGGGGGGGGGTGTTCTTGCAGTTTAACATACTGTACTGTATTTCCCAGTGGCACAAAAGAACGGTGGCTGGAACTTCAGGTATTAAAAGGTGCAAAACACTGCCTGGACAGGTGCTTGCGACATCCCCAGGTGTATGTGTGTGTATGAACTATCCAGCAGGAAAACAGCCAAAGGGCCAGCCCCCCCCCCAATCCTGGGCCTGTGAGGCTGCAAAAAAAAAAAAACAACCTAAGCAGGGCAGGGGATGCTGGTAGGTGTATTCCAAAAGAGGAGTCGACATACTTCCTTTTGCAGGGCTATCTGAAGCAACATGTCTCCTACCTCTCTCCCCCCCCCCCCATTTGTGGGCAACACAAATGAAACCCATTCTTTCAGAAACTTGAAGCAATACTTCTCCTTCGTCTCTCCCCTCCATCCCTTTCCCACTGGGAAGGGGATTCTGGGACTTGTAGTCCAAAGAAGCAATATGGAACACCAATGAAACACATCCTTTTAGGAACGTGAAGCAATACTTCTTCTACCGCTCCCCCCTCCATCCTTTCCCCACTGGGCAGGGGATTCTGGGACTTGAGAGTAGTCGACATACTTCCTTTTGCGGGGCTATCTGAAGCAACATGTCTCCTACCTCTCCCCCCTCCATCCCTTTCCCACTGGGAAGGGGATTCTGGGACTTGTAGTCCAAAGAAGCAATATGGAACACCAATGAAACACATCCTTTTAGGAACGTGAAGCAATACTTCTTCTACCGCTCCCCCCTCCATCCTTTCCCCACTGGGCAGGGGATTCTGGGACTTGTAGTCCAAAGAAGCAATATGCAACACCAATGAAACCCATCCTTTTAGGAACTTGAAGCAATATTTCTCCTACCTCTCCCCCCTCCATCCCTTTCCCTAGAAACTTGAAGCAATACTTCTCCTTCGTTTCTCCCCTCCATCCTTTTCCCACTGGGAAGGGGATTCTGGGACCTGTAATCCAAAGAAGTGATACGCAACACCAATGAAACCCATCCTTTTAGGAACGTGAAGCAATATTCCTCCTTCCTCTCTCCCCTCCATCCTTTTCCCACTGGGCAGGGGATTCTGGGACTTGTAGTCCAAAGGAACAATACTCAGACCAATGAAACCCATCCTTTTAGGAACGTGATATTCCTCCTTCCTCTCTCCCCTCCATCCTTTTCCCACTGGGCAGGGGATTCTGGGACTTGTAGTCCAAAGGAACAATACTCAGACCAATGAAACCCATCCTTTTAGGATAGGAACGCAATATTCCTCCTTCCTCTCTCCCCTCCATCCTTTTCCCACTGGGCAGGGGATTCTGGGACTTGTAGTCCAAAGGAACAATAAGGAGGCACCCGCACACCCACGAACCCTCTCGTGTGTGGGGGGGGGCAGAGAGAGAGAGACTTCTGAGGCAACGTCGCTTCTTTTCCCCCTCCCGCCAAAAAGGAGCGTCCCGAAGTTCCCGCTCAGCGGCGGCGTCCGCGGCGAAGCCCCGCCCCCCTCGGCCG